ACAATTTGACAATTTGAATGAAAATATATGGTCACTGTGACTGTAATTCCAAATAATCATCTAATAATCAATCAATGTTTCTTCTCAGATTAATCATAAGGTTAAAATTGGATATTGTCCCTCCACTTTAGAATCATATGCTTCCCTAAAAGTACTAAAACTAAACTAAATTAACCTAACTAGTACTAAATCATGGAAAACACAAATGTGGATCCTGTGCACTGCAGTTCCAACCAGAGCCAAAAGTCTACTAAAAACCTTCTCTCCAAAATACATGTACTATCCAGATACCACTTCTGAGATTTTCCAAGTACTCCCCAAAATACTAAACACTAATACTCAGCTGATGGACACAGAGCACAGGGCGGTATCATCAAACATAAAACGGCCGATAGAGAGGGCAGTGGGAGAGGCAGTGATATTAGCGGCTAATGGCTACTACTTGCTGCAGCTGAAGAATTTGGTATTCTGTGGAGGAACCACTGGAGGAAGGATCCCTTAAGGGCCTAAACATTAGCGTGTTTATGCATAGTTATTGGCCTATTTATCCACTTGCTTCTTGAGCCAAGAGAAAAGTTGGAGCGAGTGATCATATTTACAAATGCCAGGGGCGACGAATACGAAAGGGAGTGATATTGGGAAAAAATAAAACGAACCGTGCACGAATTGAGTTGACGTAATCATACTTTGTTTTGGCTCCTAAACATGCTTGTTGTCTGCCTGGTAGTTGCGTTTCATTTCATAAAATAGTCAACTACAGCCCTAAACACAAGCACTAAAGAAATGATCGGTCGACTTATATATATTCTGAAAACGTATTGATTCAGTCTGGCTTTTAAATCTCAGTAATGCAGTGACACGTTGCACAATTTATTTTATTTCATTGTTTAATGTTTTGGATGTTTTTATTTTGTGCTGATTTAAATGTGAAGCACTTTGGTCACCTAGAGTGTTCTAAAGGGCTCTATAAATAAAGTTTGACTGATTGATTAAGACATGCCCAGTGCTTTGATTTAAAAACTAAAAGTAAACAAGTTGTGGCAAAGACAAAAGCTCTCAAAACAATTACGATCACACCAAAAGCTACTATGTACACAGTAGGGCTGCAATGATTAATCGACTGATCATGTCATGCCAACGAAAAATATAATCATACCGTAGCTGTATTCTGATAAGACACGTACGAAAAGACAAAAACGAATTTAAACAACACAATTTCAGGAGTTTGTGATTAATATGAGAGCTCACGGTCCTGCTGAGTTTAATTTTCGACAAAAAGGTGAGAAAACTGCTGGCTAATGCTGCCTACCTTGTGACAGTAATGTTATTTGAGAGGAACTTGTTTAACAGCACAAATCACTTAATCTGATGTAGTTCCACATAAGTTAGTTCTTCGTGGTCAGACATAAATCTGAGCTCACAGGGAAGCTTCATGACATCAGCTGCAAAGTATCAATAACAGACTAATTTTAAATATTCTCTCTATAGAATCCTTCAGTCACTTTATTTTAATCTTTATTTGCTTTAAAGCGTAATTAAAAAGTCTCAATGTACAATAGAAACTCCCCAAACTCCAACTAAGGTAATAAAAGCTTAAATATAATCACAGAAAATAGTTCACAGCAGAGGGACCATAATTAGTGTCTTTAATAGTCTAAAATTAGTGATATTTCCCTGGCTGTCTCTTGCCCTGTGCAGTTGACAGCCTATTCACTTTTACAGCTTTAATAAGAGAAATTTGAAAGACCCCAAAAAGAAAACCAATTCAAATTTGAAAAGGTTAGAACGTAATAAGTCTCTAATACTAACAATGTATGTACCAGATCATAGTGCCACGACAAATGCTCATAAACAAACACACAAAACCAAGGAAAACAAAACAAATTGCAATCAAATTGAAATCATAATTGGAATGGACGCAAAGAGCAAATCTCAAAGGCTGCAACTTTTTTTTTTAAACTACCATAATTTCCTCCACAAAAAAACAAACTAACGTGTCTTATTCTGCATAAAACTGCTACATTTAGATGTGTAAAAACATGTTCTAAAATGTGATGCTTGTATTACTTTCTCAGTTCCTTGGCTTATTTTCGAATTCTCTTAGATGCACTAAAATGTGAATTTTGAACGGAATCTTATTATTTAAACTTGAAAAGAAATTGCAAATCTAATCATAATGCTGGTCAGAAATATCATACTTACATACTTTTTCCAAATCCTCCAGCCCTAATCACTGCATAAAACTTTGAATGAAACTAGTGACAAAAACCAGGGCATCTGTTTTATTTTCGAAGAGCAGCAGCAGCAGGGTAAACCAGTAAAACAGCATTTCTTTGAGAGAAACTGATATGGGACAATGACAATTCAGGTACCACAGGGCTGTAACTGCCAACTAAAGAAAATCTTGGTCAGCAACAGACAAAATGTCAAATGTCCTGCAGATCAACTAAAAGGGGGCGTGGCAAAACCTCTCAAAACTACTGTGTACAGTATTTTTCACACTATAAGTCACATTTTTTTTCATGGTTTGTTTGGTCCTGCAACTTATACTCCGGTGCGACTTATATATAAAAATGTTCACAATGACAGTAGTGACAGGGCGCTCTAGGCTTGTGTGTCAGTATCTGCTACTCCTGTTACTACTGTATCACTGTCACTTCACTCTACTGCGTATGTCTCCTGCAGAAAGAGCCGATGTCCTGCTGCAAGTAGTGAAATATTCAGCCGAAAATGGTAATCAAGCAGCTTAAAGAAAGTTTGGAGTGAGCGAAAAACTTGTGAGGGACTGGCAGAAAGCAGGGATGGAGAACACAGCTTCACGGTAATGGGAGGGTGCGCCATGCAACTTTCCTGGAAGTCACTGGATGGATCAACAAAGCACGGACTAACAACTGAAACCATCCTGTTGGGATTCAGAAAGGCTGTAATAATTCTAACTGGAACTGTTGCCGAGTCTGACGACAGCTACGCAGAAGAGGAGGTGGAGCTCTGTTTACTGTGGAGTTGCTCAGAAGTGACACAGATGATGAAGAATTCAGTGGATTTAGTGATTGGGAGTGAGATGGAGAGTTTGGTAAACTTATGTTCTGCTGTTTACGCTATAGTTATCTGAATAACTGTTAAAATGTTACGTTAACATATTAACGCCTATTCAGCCTGTTCTCTGTTTTATTGTTATGACTATAACTTGCCTTTCAAAATGAAATGTCGGTTCCTGGTCTCTGATTTTATAGAATAAATTTCCCCAAAAAAGTGGGTCTTATAGTCCGGTGCAACTTATATGTTTTTTTTTGGCTGGTGTGACTTATACTCCAGAGCGATTTATAGTCCAGAAAATATGGTATATCTATGTATCTGACCCAAACTGCACTCACAAAACTACACTTTCACTGGAGTTCACGCAAAAACAACTATTTATACAGAAAACGTACAAGGAAACAACAGATTTATGTTAAGACAGATTGAACTTGTGAATCATGATTGTCTGGTGTATGTAAAGAGACAGATTTCAAACAGACATTTTCAGCTAATTCACTTCTGCTGTTGTCCCATATTACTTATAATAATAAAATAATTACTCAACTAAGACACCATTGACCAATGAACTGACTTAATGACTGAAGAACTACAGCCCAAGTAGAAAACAACTCAATTAAAGACTTCTAAAATCATCTCTAAGAAAAGCTTGAGGGCTCAACTTTAATCCAACTTTTTGAAGTCAATTTTATTACAGTAGTAAAAGTTTGGGATCTCAGTTGCACCATCCAGATCATTAAAGACTTCTGAAAGACCATCTGTACTCGTCCACGCCTCACAACCATCATTCAGATAAGGCTCATTTGTCGAGGAGTGGGGAAAATAATATTTGGTTCATTGTACAAGGGACTCTCTTCAACTTTCTTCGCTACTTAAACATGCATAGCCCTAGATAAACCATAAAAGTTTGCACATATAGAGAAATAGAAATACTAAAAGAAATATTGTGGAGGCTCTCAAGTCCGACAGGCATATAATCGCTACAGGCATTTCTTTACACTGTGCAATATCCTTGAAATGTTATTTTTTATAACACAACTGCAACATTTTGAATATTGAATGCAATTTTATGTTAAAATGTCTCAATTTCCATAACAGAAAAGAGAAAAGAAAGAAACATTTTTTTTGCATCAGCAGTCAGCCAACAGAAATTTGCACATAAATTCCACAAATGTAATGCAATTTAAAAAAGAAATGTGCCATCATTGCATTATTTATTCCTATTTTAGGGCTGTGTTTCAATGGCATTTCAGTCATGATCACAGTTATTGCTTGGTTCTTGTGAGCTTTAAGCAATGTTATAAAGTTGTTACCTACTCAAACACATACCCCGAGTTGTGTTTTGTTTAAAATCCTGGTGTATTACTCTGTTTACATCTCCAAACTCAAAATGCTCTGTTCCACATTGTGGTAGTTTTCAATTTAACACCTACCTTTTACTTTTAGCTCAGTAGAGATTGGCAATTCCAGAGCTGAAATCTGCCAAATGACTCCAGTGAAGGTGAAGTGTGGAGTCTAAAAACACTGTCAAGGCTGTTTTTGTTGATGTTTATGTGAAGCACTTTGGTCAGCCAAAGTAGTTTTAAATGTGTTATATAAATAAACTTTTTGACTGAATTGAAAATTGAATTAATTGAAAAACACAGTGGAGCACTTACACTTGTATTACCACATGACACCACAAGGTAGAACAGAGTGTTTTCTGTTTGAGAGAAGGAGTCAGCCTAAATACGCAAGATTTGCGAGTTAAACATGTTTGAATGAATGAAATAAAACATAACTCTAGGTATGTTTTTGATGAGGACACATTATAACATAGATCAGAATATACCATAACACGGGCCCTTTAATAATAATAATAATAAAACGGTTTTATATAGCGCTTTTATTGCATTTTTTACGATCACAAAGACGCTTTACAAGAATTACGCAGTGCACCTTTATAGTATAGTCATTCACATTACCTGCAGTACGCCGTTGGTACAACCAGAGCATATCCGACGCAGGTTCCTCCCAAACAGCTTCCCAGTTCGTAAAACAAGGCATGAGTCAGCGATTCCAGAGGCAGCACCACCAGCAAAGCACTGAGGAAGAGCCCATTTGATTGCTGTAGAAATGAAAGGATTAGAGTCACTTTTATTCTGCAGTTGTAATCCGAGCAGGAGAAACCACAGACAGCTAATTGGTGGCGACACTCTCAAGACAGTTTCACAATGTAGGCCTGGCACAGTGTTATTACCGGCAGACAAAACATGACAGGAACAGACTAAATAGACACACAAGCACCAAGCAGACTACACACAAAAGCGGTGTTCAATCACAACCGAATATTAACTGCAGAGGTCATCGCTTATAACAGTCTGGACTGTCTGGCTTTTTCTGTGGACTGTTTACATACCAACAAATTACCAAGCTGTATCTGCAGACAATGGCATAATGGGACACTCAACAATATACTCTGCGCCTGCTGTGCTGGGTATAGTGTTGAATAGTCTTTTGTGGGGAAAAATGTAAAGAAACAAACAAAAAATGTGATAGGTTTGTTCTGATTGAAGAAAAAGGCTTGATTAAAATTTTAAAAATAAAAGAAAATTCAACAAATAATAGTAGTGTGGTCTTTTTGATTTTGATTGACTATTCAAACTCATGAAAAATTTTCTTTATTCATGTGATTTTTTTGGTTTTGTGTTGATACTAGTTTTAGCACTGATTAGTATTTGGAAGCTACTAACACAAATCAAAAAAATACATGATTAAAAAACAAATACATTCGGAATTTCAACACAATCTTGTTTTGTTGTCTGGCTTTACATAAACGTAACGTAGGTACATGAAAATACAAACCTATAATATAAGTGAATTTTAGGCCAGACTTAAAGATATTTTAAGTAGCCACTACAAAGAGCTGCTTGTTATCTGGTTTAAAAGTAAGGGGGACGGAGCTTATGGCCATTCAAATTAATAATTCAGGCTCAGTTCAATGAAAACGTGTACATTCTGTGTGCTCCCAGATGTTTTGGCTTTTACAGTACAACACAGAGATTGTATTATGAACATAGGAATCTTCAAAGTGTCTCTTTTCATAAACATGTTTTGGGCCTAAAGTCTTCTGAAGTAATTTACTTTGAAGTAACTTTTTCGAACTTCAGATTCTTTTGAACTTTTTTTCCCAGACAAATTCAAATCAATTGCATCTTAAAATATAAATTAATAAACCAGAAAACATTTTGGCTGTTTGAAGATGAAGCACTTACAAAGTTCTCAAAAGCATGAAATAGGATACAATTACACAGGGGAGTAGGCAGGGCGGGACAAAGGGGTCTGTTGTCCCGGGTTCCAGGGTCTTAGGGGGCCAGAATTGAACCCCCTTCCTATTAATTTATATTAGAAATTTCTGTCTGTCTGGCCTGCATCTACATAAACTAAAGACAAAGATAATACAGATAGTGCATCCTGAAAAGCCCATAGCTAATAGTAATAACTCTCATTCAGGCACTTTTCTCAAACCGCATCAACAATGGGTAGATTGAAATTAGGACATTGGCCCATGAGACTCTTACAAGACAAGAGCCTAATAAGGTTGCATAAGTTATTGCTTCCCCTTTCACAAGTAGACTGGGATAATAAAGTGCTAATGAAATCAGTTCCGCATTATAAGCAGACTCACCTGGGTTTAAGAAGGAACTAAATATACAATACAGATTGATCCACAGTGACAACTTTGCCAAAACTACTTATTAGGGCTTTCTAATATTGCCTCTGCTCCACGGTCACCTTCTATAATATAGAAGGTGAATATAGAATCTATATGAAATCTATATGATCTATATCAATCTATATGAAAGCTGGAACAATATTTTTTGGGGTCAGTAATTATTGTATTTAAATTTTCTTTGCACAACCGAGAAATGTTTGCTTATTTTTTTGGCTACGTGATGATATTTAAGCCATAGAAGGTTCAATGAATAATTTCTATGAGTCATTACAGATGCAAACTAAGTACTAAAGTGTTTCATTCTGCTGTTTATTTATTGCAGCTCGTTATTTTTTAACAATATTGTAGTTTTAGAATACATTTTGTGGTTTAAATCTGCTTTGGGTTATTGTGTCAGTGGCATAAATTATTTTCAGTATTATGGTTTATCGTCTGTATTTACTTCAGCAATATTTAACACTTCAAACATTTGTTATGGTGACATGCCGACCTACATCACTTGATCTGTAAATAATATTCATTTTAGGTGAATGATATAATAACAATCACGTCATTGTGGTCCATTGAGGTGGTCTGGTTGCATAATATCAACAAGGAACTACAATTTAAAATTCATGACAATTTATGGGTTTTACAGATGGCTATGTTTACATGCACACCTAAATCTGATCATTATGATTTCTGGACCTTTAACAAAATGTAAATAACTTGCAACTTGTGTGCATTTAACCGCTAGCCACTGATTTTAAAAAAATATATAAAAATCTAAATTTGTGAGACTAACAAAACTGTGAATATGCCACTTTGTCCTTGACAGGTCATTGATTCAGTCATAAAACAAAGTATTAACATTTGAAAATAATTATTTCTTCTGTAATCTGCACTAAATCAAAGCAAAAAATAACGGTCTATGTAGTTTTCTCTGTTTTTAGTTATTACTGCACCATAACAATGCATCAAAGCAAATAGACATGTAATTCGATATATTGTGACAACCCACGATATTATTGATTAAGATATCACAATATTTTAGCTGTTGTTAGATCCCTACCAACAATATACATAGTGCAGTGTTATTATTACTATGCGAAATGTGTAAAGAGTAGAGCCATACCTGCCAGGACACAGCCCCCAGTATGACGGTGGACAGTATAGTGAAAAAGACCAGTCGCTCGGAGATGAGGCAAAAGTGTCGAATGCCTCTGGAAGCCATGACCTGGTCCAGGCTCCTGGTCCCAGTTCTCTGCGTCCTCCAGGCCTTCTGACAGTCGCTGAGTTTGGTGTGGAAGCCCCAGATTGTGATGATCAGAATAATATGACAGATGGACCAGAACAGGCCAAAAAGGCAGAACCCAGGGATGACCAGATACCACTGCTCCAAATAACCCAGCTGCAGAAAGGGAGAAATCAAACACTCATTTATCACAGTCTAAAAATAGCCCTGATTCCAGACACTAGCTCATTATTAAAAATATTGATTATAGTTAAAATCTATTTAGCGACAAAGAAACACAAACTCAATGGCCCTAGTGCAGGGAAATGCAGTGGAAAGTAATTCAGATTAAAAAACAAACCATGTAATTTTGCTGTTGTGTGAACATATTAACCAGCTATTGACTGTGACTTCAAACCTGCTTTTAGGCAAGCAAATTAACATTTTACTTATTAAAGGGGATTAAATTAAACTTGCCTTTAATTCTACTTATTACATAACTGTTTAAAAATATAATCAAGGCGCACTCATCACCAAACACCCTTGAATGTGGACTAGTATTTCCTACATGTACACACTCTTGTCACTGGACTATGAGTACTTTACAATAACACTTTATTTTAATAAATTTTTAAGGTGAATTATCATGGGTTAGTTGGCGTAATCAGTCTATCCATACATAAAATTACAAAACATAATTTCTAAACATACCTTCAGCGCAGCCAGGACGAAGTAGTACATCTCAATGACACTGAGAGGCAGCAGAGACAGACGCCTCCACACTTTCCCCAAAGACAACACTGGCATCCAGCGCTCGCACGGCCCCAGGCCACTGAAATACACGTCAAGCACAGGCTCACACAGCTGCCTGCCCAGATAGCACCCCAAGGCAAACGGGTTGGCTGTAATGCCCAAGGCCTGAAAGAAAACTAGGGAGGTAATCAAGGCAAAAGTGACCAGATTGGGTAAGGCTAGCAGCGACTTCATCCTTAGGTCCACGATGAGAGCTCCCAAGGCAACCACCAAGCCGACTATAGCTGCAGATTTCTGGAGGAGCATCGTCGTGCTGGCAATGGCGAACCCCAGGAGCTCTAGGAATTCAGCTGATGTGAGTAAGGCGGGTTTGTAATGCACAGAGTTACATATTCGCTCAGTCAGTGCCCACAGTGCCTTCATTATAACACATGCTAAAAGTAAATAGTTTGCTACAAGTTCCTTTACATCTGAATCCAAAGCAGGGCTGTTGAGGAAGCACAGAAGACCAAGCAAGAAGCCACCCCAAAGATGGAACAAACTGAGGCTGGCTTTCTCCATGGCAAAGTAATAGTAAAAGATGCTGGCAATTCCCATTACAAAAAGTCCAAGGATAAAGATGACCAAAATCATAGGCTCGCTGGTGACCTCCCATCGCACATACATGCCGACGCACACTGCCACCAGGAGGTTGATACTGGACAGGTAACCAAGGCATTGTACAGAGGTGAAGACGTCCACCTCTTTAGGGGCTTCGGCCGGGGTCAGCTCCTCTTCCTCTTCCTCTCGAGCCATTATGCCCTTTTGATCAAATTGAAAAGTGCAGCTGCAGTCTGTGTCAGTGAACTCTGAAGGCAGTGACCATGTCCAGATTCTCTTCAAGACCAATATGGAAGATTATGACATCAACCCCTAAAAATAAAATGGAGAACATTGTCATTCACCCAAGCATAATACTATAATACACTTTATAACATTAAAAATAATCTTTGGATACTTTTGGATATTTAGAATTTTTCAGTATCTTACAGAATCTTACAGTGACATGATGATGACATTGTTTTACTTATATCTTCTGTTACATTAAAGTTACGCCGCAGGAACGCACACACTTTTAAAGTTTCAATATTTCTACACAACAGTCATTTAAAACACTCAATGCTTTAGCGTCATTTCGAAAGGGCATCGTCAATGTGGATCAGTGTGTTTTTGAGTAAATCAGCTCCTTGAGGCACTCGACAGTAAACTAAACTTTGACTATGTGGCACAGCAGCAGCAGCACAAAGTTTGCTAACTCACTAGCCACTTAGCTCGCTAACGACGACTCGCATATCGCGTCAACGCATTTCTAAAACGCAGCAACAACTGCAGATATACCGTATGAAACAATCCATAAAGATGTTCACGTTATTGTGTTTTCAGGATAAAATATAGCTTACATATTTCTGGTTTAGATGATGACAGCAGCTCCGCTTCCGGGTATAACGCTACGGTGTCTGACATGGCTCATATTACATGATACGCGATACTGGTTTCTCAGTCTTTGAGAAAACAAACAACATGATACGCTATTTTAGTGCTGGGGGCTTTGAAATGTTCTAATATTTTCATGAATTAATAAAGTATTTATTATTAACACGGCTAACACCGTAATTGTTAAAATTACCTCTGACAACTGATTTAGTAGGCTATTGTATTATAGACTAGACTAGCCCATTGAATCATTTGGCACCTAACTATATATGAGGAATAATTGTGTTCAAGATAACTCAAACAACTATGTACATGCACTTAAATTATTGACAATTCTTCATTTTAGCAAACACTATTATATGTCCATTGGTCTTTCGTTATTGACTTTGAGACATATAGCCCAGCCCTATAGTTTTTGTGAAGCCCAGTATGCAATAAAAACAAGCCATGTTAATTTTAAATAGCCTGTGGTATTGTATGGTATGGCATCAGTAGGAAGTAGCTGCCTGTCTGGAGGGCATATTCTCCTACTGCAGACTTTTATTTCTGTTTTTATTGCAGTGTGTATCTCAGTGTGCTGCTTTGATGTTCTCAGAAAACACAACATGGGAACAGACTGTTCTTTAGCCTCCTTCTCTTCTCACTATGCGGTCTTTGCTCAGTACTACTGAGTAGGATCTCAATGAGATGGCAATGAAAATTGTATGGCTTTACATAAACTATAATGCACCTCTGTAGTTTACATCATCTCTATTTTCTTCTTTTAAACCACCTATTGTATCTCTAAAATATAGGTAGATTCTGAAAAGAAGAACAAAAAATCATAGGTTATGTATACAAAGCACAAAATGAATTGTTAATCCAGTATATAAGTGTAAATGATTTAAATACAAACCACATTATTGTAAGTCCTTTCATTTCATATGCAGCATCTTATCATTGCAGATTTGTTTATTCTTATAACTTCTCGTAGACCTCGCCCATACAAAAGATTTGTGAATTGTTGTATGCCTCGAGTTCTGATCATAAGAACAGATTCTCATTTCATTTGGAGAGAGCTGACTAATCCCTCAGTGTTGCTGGTGAATTGGCCGGTGCCCACTCTGTAGTTGAACAAATGCTTGCTAATAAAGAGATGGCTGTGGCTGATTATGAGAGAGGGGTCACTGGGGTTTGTCATAATTTGTTCTTTAACTCATTCCCCATCATTTATTTCTGATAATCATTATACAACATAACACAATCCTACCTAATTACAACTTTGACACTGTTCTCATGTATAACTGAACAATTCTGCAATCAAATGGTTTCTCCAAAATGCAATGAATTAGCTGAAATTGATTTGTAAGTGACAGGGCACCAGAGAGGGCACAAGAGAGTGGCGTGATACCAGAGTTCATGGCTAGTTCAAATACACATTGTGCCACTTCAAGGTTGAGAACTTGCAGACACAGCAAAAGGACATGAAAGGATGTGGAGAATGCAATGGGACGTTCATATTGCAGAGTTTATATGAGGGCAGGAGCAAAACACTGAGGAGGATTCTGGAGAGAGAAGGAGACAGGCTCTGGTGAATAATGCAAAAGTCACTCACATTCAGACACCTCCACTCCACCAACCATTTCCACAGACAAAACAATTGATCCAACCAGAACACGCTAACAAACACTGTGCCAATATCATCCAGTGCATTTACATTTTCTGTTTGGGGGGTGTCATTATCTGGAATGTTCCACAGTATTGCATAAACCATCAGTTTAGCATTTTTTTTCTCAAATATACCTTGAAAAACATGCATTCTTTCTGTAAACAGAGGCACCTCTCCATGGACCTGATCTGTACATTGCATCAACTGTTTTTCTAGATATTAAAGTGCCCATATTATGCTATTTTATGATCTACTAGTATGTTACAATGCTGCTGTCTCATCAAAAACATACCCAGACTTGTGTTTTGCTTCATTCACACATGTTTAACACACATACCCTGCAAATTGAGTTCCTCTCTCAAATAGAAAACACTCCACTTTGTTCCACCTTGTGATGTCATCAAAACACAGGAAGTGCTTCCCTCTATCTTTAAACTCCATACACCGTCACTTCAATCATTTGGATAATTTCAGCCCTGGAATGCCAATATATACAGAACAAAAGGGAAAAGGTGGCTATTAACTTGAAAACTATCACCTAATGACATCAAGTTAACAATGACAACAAGTTAGAACGGAGTATTTTGGGTTTTGAAGATGTAGACAGACTAATAATGCAGGGTTACTCAAACATGTGTGAATGAAACAATACTACATTTTTGGGAGGAGGTACCAATATTCCAGGGGTCTCCAACCTGTAGCTCACCAAGGGATTTCTGAATTATACATATTTTCCCGAATAACTCAAATTTGATGAATTAAAAGCCTATTATTGTAAATCTATCATTTTGATGCCTGACTTTGTGTACTCAAATAATGGTTTATGTTTGATCTAACTGTACCCCATCTAAGGCTTGCCATGGCTCTTCTGTATACTTTAATTCCAGCGACTGCTGAAATTAGTAGCTCTCTGGAATTTTTGTTTTGTAAACGTAGCTCACCTGAGGAAAATGGTTGGAGACCCCTGCACTATTCTAACACGACTGAAAACTCACAGGAGTCAATTTAGCATAATTCAGGACCTTTAGGTTTAATAGGCAAAGCAATAACATCTTCATAGAAACAATTGTATATTAATATGTGATCTCAGACATATACAGTACATCTTATTTTTGCATTTACAGTAATAACTTAAAAGCTACCATGCAACCCCATCCATCAGTAAAACCTTGCCCTTTATAAAGGATTAAAAACAGCATTATGCAAACCCACTGTAATGGTCTCTTTGGGTGTCAGCAGGAACACCAGTTTTGTCTGGAAGTTTCAAAAGTCAAAAAGGTTATTAAAATTAAGAAATTAAGAAAAAATTATTTGCTCAATTATCTTCAAGTGTATTTTGTTACGTGCTACATTGTACAGAGGGACTGTCCGTTAAGCACAAAACAGCCTTTTTCACAGCATTTCCAAAGTCATTTTAATCTAAAGACGGGTCAGTTTATATTTTTAACCATATTCCAGTGCTTTTTGCTTCATTAAACAAAGGGCGCTGTGCCTTCTGTGTGCTTTGTGAGCTGCTCTAACCCAATAGAAACATTTTAAGGACACAAGGACATTACCTACTTAGTTGATATTAGTCTGTGTACTTGCAGAGGATAAAAAGTATGTACAGTTCTTATGAGGTAGAGAAGGATCTAAAAAGTACAAGCAGAAGTGGAAGAAAGAGAAGAAGGAACCAAGGTAAGAGTAACATGAAATTATATCATTCAAGTATATAGACAAAAAGTAGTGATCCAATAAATTACCGTATTTTTCTGACAATAAGTGGCACTTTTTTTCATGGATTGGGTGGTCCTGCAACTTTTACTCCTGTGCGACTTATATATTAAAATTTTCAAACTGACAGTTGCGAGAGGGTGCTCTAGGCTTGTGTGTCAGCATCTGCTGCTCCTATTACTCCTGTACCACTGTCACTTCGCATTCTACTGCACATGCCTCCTGTAGAAAAAGACACTGTCTTACTGCAAATAGTGAAATATGCAGCCGAAAGTGGTAATCGAGCAGCAGAAAGAAAGTCTGGAGTGAGTGAGAAACTTGTGCAGGACTGCTGGAAAGTGGGGATGGAGAACACAGCTTCACGGCAACTTTGATGGTGCGCCATGCAACTTTCCTGGAAGTCACTGGATGGATCGACAAAGCCTGAACTTCAGTGACAACCAAAACCATCCTGTCGGGATTCAGAAAGGCCGGAATAATTCTAAATTAATGCTGAGTCTGACCACAACTATACAGAAGAGGAAGCGGCGTTCTGTTTACATCATGGATCTATGGTTTATCTCCGAGGGTCGCGCAGAAGTGACACCGAGAATGATGAGATCCTGAGTTTGGTAAACTTATGTTATGTTGTTTATGCTATAGTTATCTGAATAATTGTTAATATGTTATGTTAACACATTTACGCCTATTCAGCATGTTGTTCTCTATTCTGTTGTTATTTTTATAACTTGCCTTTCAAGATGAAATGTCAGTTCCTGGACTCTGATTTTATAAAATACATTTCCCCAAAAAGTGCGACTTATAGTCTGGTGCGACTTATATATGTTTTTTTTTTCTTATTCATTGCGCATTTTTTGGCTGGTGCGGCTTATACTCTGGAGTGACTTATAGTCTGGAAACTCAGTTACATTATACATTACAAAGTTTTCAGTGAAACCAGTTTTTCAAGTTCACTGTTTCAACAGAGATTGGCAATTCTTTAAATTATCCAAATGATTCTCATGAAGGCGTGTGGAATGTAAAAACACAGTGGATCACTTTCTGTATTACCACATGATGACATCACAAGGTGGTATGTTTGTGATGAGGAAACAACATTATAAAACAGATCAGAAAATAGAGTAATATGGGGCCCTTTAACTGAAGCATAAATTTGAAGTTGTGCTGCCTTCAACTTTCTATTTTCCACAATAAATCACAACAAACCTGAACAACAGGTGAATAAACTCTCCAAAAACAAAAGCATAGTGTTAGGTTTAGCTCAGTGTTAGTGGGGTGTGAAGGAATGCCTGGCTTCCTCCTCAGTGCACAGTCAGGTGAGAGACTGTTTTATATGCTACAGCAGTACTGCTCTGACACACGTGAGGCCCGGGCTGCCACTAGAGCGCTGTTCAATCACAGTTTCATCTTCACAAAATCAATGTGATGTTCGGAGTGGCAGACAGCATCACCAGCCCAAATCAAAACCCAAAGCTGCTTAGTATATCCATCAAGGCTGAAATGAATTTTGGATAAGGGTAAAAAAGACATTGACTTGAGTTAGAAGAAAGGCAATGAGTTGAGAGAGAGGACAGAGCACAGAGGAGGATTTGGCAAAGGACTATTGCAGACTGTAGTGTGCGGCATAAGACCACCTGAGCATTTCCATACAATTCATCCAATCTAGTGATAACTGCAGCTGATGCCATCAA